CGTCCAGTGCCTCATTAAAGGAGACTTTAATCTCGTCAGTAATGGCACAGCCTCTCTCAACGTGATTCTTAAATTTGGCAACACATTTTAATTGTCTGGGGAACTTTAAACTACCGATGAGCACATCTCCCCATAGTGGGTTTGCAGCCCAGTTTGTTTTAAGCACTCTCAGGAGCGGTGGAATAGTGGCTGAACAGCCTGGAAACCCTGACATACAGCCAAGCTGATGAGCAGATATATTTCCTTCAGCAGCCACTGGCAACTCCCGTCACTTCTTGCTTTAGACTCATTGAGGAGAGTGAAACCCGTTTCCTATGAGTGGTATTCTCCCTGATCCCGTGTGTGTTCTGATTAGACAGTCACTCTTACAGACGCTTAGGTTGTAGCTGCTACACAGCTTACGGCTCTAGAAATGCGCATGTGTGCTGAGCTGCCCAGTCGTGTCCGACTCTCTGTGACCCCATGGACTGCAGCCCACCCGGCTCCTCTGTCCCTGGGGTGCTCCAGGCAAGAGTACTGCAGTGGGTTGCCATGCCCTCCTCCAGGGGATCTTCCAGACCCCAGGATCAAACCAGCACCTCTTATATCTCCTGCATTGGCAGGCAGGGTCTTTACCTCTAGTGAAGCTTGGGAATGTCAAATCTTTGAACAGCAATTTTATATTTTTGCCATCAACAGTACGATATGCCTCTAATATTTTATTTCTCTTTGCTGTTCTTCTGTTCTTTCAAAAAGGCTCATGTGAGCTTCTAATGGTTTAATGGTTTTTAAATTGGGTTATTTTCTTTTCTATCACATGTAAACCTAGCACTGTTTGATGGATTTTACTGTAATATATATATTTTTTTCTTTTCCTTTGTTTTTGGGTTCAGGTACTCATTTTGCTAGAGGAGGGTATGGCAACTCACTCCTGTATTCTTGCCTGGAGAACCCCATGGACAGAGGAGCCTGGTGGGCTACAGTCTACGGGGTTGTGAAGAGTCGGGCATGAGTGAAGCAACTTAACATGCACACACATTCATCTTGCTAACATACCTCTTCTAGATTTTGCTACCAACGCATACTTTAGGCCCTCCTGTAGTGAGATACAAAATTCTGAGTCTACCAAAGGCATCTATTATTTATCTAAGTCTTGCCCAACTTCACCCCCTCTAAGTTAAATAATTCTCCCGAGAAGGAGGTGTTTTTCATGTACAAGATGGCCATTAATAATTTTCTCCAAACCTGGAGATATCTTCCCTTGCCTCAAGTATGCCTGCTTAGGAAAAGATGTATATTCCAGAGATTATAGTAACCACACCCATGTTAGATAAAAGTGGCTTCCTTTGAAAGAGTATCTCCTTTGTCCCAGATATCGACAGCACTTACATACAGTAACATACAGTAATTGTCCTCAGCACCTTGCATACCAGGTATCATTATCCCCATTTCGTAGACATTCAAATAAACGTCTAGATGTTCACAAGCTTGTACAAGTATTGGGTTGGCCAAAAAGTTTGTTTAGGTTTGTCTGTAATATCTTATGAGAAAAATCTGAATGAACTTTTTGGCCCACCCAACACATACAACTGGGAACTGGTGAAGCTAGAATTCAAATCCAGGAACAGGTAAGATCATACTAGTCAGTACATATTAAAAAAAACGCATAGAATAAGGTGCAGTAAGACTCTGGAGAATGACCTTCCCTAAGAGAAAAGGTAAATATGAAAGCATTCTCAGACCTCATGGGATTTGGTCTCTAAACTGAGCAGATTCTAACCTGTGCTTGGAGAGAGAGGGCAAGAGAGGCCTTTGGAAATGCAGCTGTATCTGTTTTGGAAAAAAGTACCCTTTGGGAATGGTTGCAAACATTTTAAGGACTTCCTGCTGCCTACTCTGATTTCAGTGGACTTTTGGAGTTCACGGCAAAGAATATGACCTTGACTTAGATGCCTTTCTTACCACGTCTCCCTTTTGGCATGCTAAGTCCTGGGAGAAACCTGGGTCTCATAGGGGGACTTGGTTTGCACCCACTTTTAAGGGAAGTGATGTGAATTATAAAAGGAGATTGTAGACCTAATTTTTCAGGAGGTTGTTGGAGGTATGATCCTTCTTCCACAGACGAAACTAGAGAGGGATTCCTGGGTTAGGAAGAACCCCTGGAGAAGGAAATGGCAGCCACTCCAGCATTCTTGCTTAAGAACTCCCGTGGACAGAGGAGCCTGCGGCCCGCAGTCCAGGGGCCCTAAAGGGTTGAGCGCGAGTGAGCCGCGGAGCACATGGAAACGGAAGGAAGCAGACGCAACGGCCACCTGCGGCTCGCCGGAGTCTCCAAAGGAGAGGCCGTGGCAACAGGGTGAGCTCGCTTACCTAAGGTGAGCACCTCACAAAGAGCTTGCCTGGTTATCCACTCATAGACGTTCTCCTCCTGTGTGTCCTGAGATCCGTGCCACAGCTGCATTTTTAATAAAGCCTGTGGGTAAATAGGGGTAACAGCCTCTCTGGGGGTAGCTGACAGAGAATTGAGGTGAAGGAACTTATGAGGAAAGAGGACATGTGTGTATTCTTTGTTTTCAGCGCAAACAGGCTCTCATTCTTGCCCAAACCATCAGACTTTTAAATATATTTTAAATAAAATTTTGATATCAAAATCATTTCAAATTTACAGATAATTTGCAAAAATAACGTAGGGAGTTCCAGTATGCTTTTCACTGTTTTCCCCATTGTTAGCATCTTACCGTGGTGCATTTGTCAAAACTAAGAAACTGACAGTGGTACATTACTATGAACTAAACTCCAGACTTCGAATTTCACAATTTTTTTGCTCATGTCCTCATTCTGTTCTAGGATTTAGTACATGTTCCACATTGCTTTTAGTTGTCTTGTCTCTCCAGTATCCTCTGGTCTATGGTGGTTTTCCAGTTTTTCTCTAAAAACTGGTAAAATTTGTTATAGCAGAATAGATTATGCAGGATATAGGCTGTAAAGGAGGGGTAGATGCTTTGAAATGTTAAAGGAAAAGAAAATACAGAGGAAAAAGTGAATGTATTACTGCAGGAAAAGAAAAGGGACATCAACAGTAATGAAAATCTTATCTTAAAATAATGTTGTTGTTTAGTTCTTAAGCCATGTCTGACTCTTTGCGACCCTGTGGACTGTAGCCCACCAGACTCCTCTGTCCATGGGGTTTCCCAGGCAAGGACACTGGAGCGGGTTGCCACTGCCTTCTCCAGGGGATCTTCCCACCTGGGGTTCGAATCCACGTTTCCTGCATTGGCAGGTGGATTCTTTGCCACAGCAACACCTAGGAAGCCCTAAAACATGTTGTAGCACACGAAAGAATTAATTCTTGCAAAGTACTTCCATTTCATACCTCTGGGAGGAGAGCAAGACAGACTTACAGAAACTAATACGCTATAAATCACATCTCTTCTCATGTCTTAGTGCATGCCAAAGCATGTTTAATATGTTAGATAGTTAATTCTCAGAAAATCCCATGAGATCTTGACTGTTATTAATCCTATCTAATACAATGATTCTTAATCAGAGGCAATCTTGCCCTCAGAAAACATTTGGAGATATCTGGAAACATTTGGATTACTATAGTTTTGGAGCAGATGCCAGTGATATTTACTGGATAAAGGGGCCAGGGCTGCAATTAAACACCCTATAATGTATCAGGACAGGGCAGCCTCTCTCAACAAATCCTTCCAGAACAAACCCTGATAATGAATGAGGACACAAGAAAGAAAGAAATGAAGTAACTTTCCCAGGATTACTCATCAAGTAAGTGATGGATTATGCCAGAGTCTGTGCCCTTCCATCAAGCTGTGCCTTGTTTTGAAGGGCATCTTAAGAAAGGGCTGCAGCAGGAACAAAATACTCATCTAACAGAGAGAACACCCTGTGTGTGTGTGTGTGTGTGTGTGTGTGTGTGGGCACGCACATGTGCAAGTAGTGGTGGTCCCAGATATAAAGCATGAAGCGTCCAGCTACCACATAAATTAAAGACCAACAGAAAATGTTAATACTCATTCACTAGAAGGATATTTTGAAAAATAATTTTAAATAAATCAAAATGAGGATAGGGTTATGTTCAGTTATTACTGGACCTAGACTTGGATGCTGAGAGCAAAGACAGAGACTGTAGAGAAAAACAATGAAAAGGATTTGATTAATGAATGACTATTGTGAAAGCATTATTTTGCTATTGTAAACTACATAGGCATGTGTGCTCTGTCGTGTCTGACTCTTTGTGACTCCATGGACTGTAACTCCTCTGACCACAGGATTTTCCAGGCAAGAATACTGGGATGAGTTGCCATTTCCCACTGCAGGGATTGAACACGTGTCTCTTGCGTCTCCTGCTTTGGCGGGCGGATTCTTTGCCGCTGGTGCCACGTGGGAAGCATTGTCAACTATGTGCTCCGCTTAGTCGCTAAGTCGTGTCCGACTCTTTTTGGCCCCATGGGCTGTAGCCCACCAGGCTCCTCTTTCTGTGGGACCTCCCAGGCAAGCTACTGGAGTGTATTGCCATGCCCTCTTCTAGGGGATCCTCCCGACCCAGAGATGGAACCCAGGTCTCCTGCATTGCAGGCAGATTATTTACTGACTGAGCTACCAGGGAAGCCCATTGTGATCTATGGGAGCTTGCAAACTGTATGCTGTAGTCATTGGTGGATACGGGTGTAGGGTTACTGCAATTTGGTTCCATCATATATTATTTCTTGGTTTGCCTCTGAAAACTTCACCTCAAGCCTATTGTCCCAGCATTATTTTTAATATTGTCCCTTTCCCTTGTAACAGTGTCCTATTTGGACGATAAATTACCTTGTTTTCCTAATAGGAATCCAGGAAGGTATGGAATCCTGTAACTCAACCAGTATTTCCAAATGATGCTGTTAAAGGAATAATACCAGATGATATTGATAAATAGCAGCAGGACACAGTGGTATAAGTTGTTTAATAGCTAAACTATACCTCAAAATGTGAAACATGTCTTCTAAGGTCACAGTGAAACAAAATCTGGACGCTAAATTCTAAGTTTTTATTTTCCAGACACATGAAGACACCACGTGTAATTACACATAATTAGAGAGGGCAGGAAAGAAGATAATTCATCCTAGAACCATATCCTCTGCGGTAGATCATTGTTAGGGTAGTTCATTTAACCGGACAGAGAACAGGAACTGAAAACAAGCGGATTGAGACTGCCTTTAATTTATATTATCTTTAACACTGAAGCATAACATCTGTAAGACACCTGGATGGAATACTAGTCTCTACCTGAACTTGAGAAAACTTAACTCTCCCATTACCACTTTAAACTTTATGTGAATCCAAGTTGTTTACAGTGTATCTAAAACACAGAAGTGGATATCTCCCACCTGTTTGCTGTCTGACTTAACCAATGGGCTTGGAACACTTTTGGTCAGGCTGAATATGGGAAATGGAAAGTAATTTTAGCTTCATTGATTATAATAGTATCTCTTCAAATCCTTCTTATTCTCTTGTATTTTATATATTGTGTCTGTCTAAGAACCTTTCTGAACAGAGCAGTGCAGGAAACAGATGCAAACTTTGGAGGATGTTAGAAGCACAAGGAAGGTCATATGGGCTTCATTCAGCTCAGTACAAAATCCAGCATCTGGAGGAGTCAAATTTTGATGACAGTTCTGCTATCGACTTGTAATATCACTCACAGAAAAAAAATCTCATTCCTTTTGGACTCCAATACCTTCTTATTAATAATGAGAGGCATCCTGACATCAGCTGCATGGATTAACTAGGGAACTAACTAGTTCATTTCAATATGAGTTGGGAAACCTTACAAAGACAGTGTAAACTACTAGTAAATTTAGGTCAAGATGCATAATATTCATCTTTAGAAATGCCATTGATTCTTGGCTTGATATCTGCTTGATACTGGCAAGCTGCAGGTTCCGCCCCAGTTTTTTTTGTTGTTGTTGTTTATTTGTTTTTTGTTTTACTAAATCTTCAGAGAATCAACTGGGAAGATGCTCTTTCCATGCAAATTCTCCCCCTGAGTATTTGTGTTTCTAGGCTTAGCCGAATTATTGTCCCTAACTCACGAACTAGTACCGTCTCATGACTATAAAACTCTGCCTCAATTCTTAGCCATCTGACAGTAAAAGTCAAACATTTTCATTTTAGGAAAGAAAAAAGATAAACATAGTAGTTTTTAAAATTAGATTACCTGTTATCTCATTATTCAGGGATAAAATTTCAAAAGGGCTTCCCAGGTGGCACAGTGGTAAAGAAGCCACCAGTGCAGGGAATGCAAGAGACGCAGGTTCCATCCCTGGGTCAGGAAGACCCCCTGGAGCAGGAAATGGCAACCCACTCCAGGATTCTTGTCTTGACAGAGGCGCCTAGCAGGGCACAGCCCGTGGGGTCACAAAGAGTCAGACACCAACGAGCACAGCACCACCGCCAGCCTTTTAAAAAACTATTGGATGGTTTGGCTTCATTTTTATTTGCTAGTAAATTTATGTTTATAAGTAATACATACATATGCATATATACATGTAAATGTCAAAGTGAATATCCTACATTTGTCTGATTAATGTACTCTACCTTTCTAAAACAGGCTGCATTCAAATCTTATCCATGCTCTTTACATTTTTCATGTTTCTAAAAAATTTTCATTGGAGTATAGTTGATTTACAACATTGTCTTAGTTTCAGGCATACAGCATAATGACCCAGTTATACACATACACACATCTACTCCTTTTTAGATTCTTTCCCCATATAGGTCAACACAGAGTGCTGACCAGCATTCCATGTGCTAGACAGCATGCTCTTTATGTTTTTAATGCTATGTCTGCCTCTTCCCCCTCGGATGACCTCACCTCTGATGTTGGGGGACAGGAGCCCATCACCTGGGAATGATCTCGGCCTCCCGCTGCCGGACCTCCAGGTCTGTAAATCTGGCGGCTGCTCTCTCCTTTGCTATTCACTCACAGTGGAGAACACGTCACTTTCTTTCTCTAGGCAGTGGATCCACTTATGTGTATTTTCAGGAATCTCACTATAATAAGTGCTCTTTTAGCCTTTAGTTTATTCGCTCACACTAACTGATATTCAACTTCCCGTTTTCAGATGTTGAGAATGTTATTTCTATGGCTTTCAAGTTGCTGTTCATGACTGGGGAGCAACAATTTCACAATTTCTTTCTTTAGTCCCATTCCAGCTCCCCTCCAACAGAGGGACCTGTTTCAAACAATTTATCCATAGACAGACATTCTTATCCTTACATATTCGTAAAATATATAGTATATTTTTGTTGGAATTTTCTGGCTTATATCAGAACCAAAAAAATTATCAGATAGGTTTATAAATACCAGTTTTATGACTAATAAAAAATAGCTAGGTTGACATTTTGACCCTGGCATGAGGCCAAATGGATTTGTTGACAGTCTTCTCCATATATTGGGTTGGCCAAAAACTTTGTTTGGATTTGCCATAATATTGTACACAGAAGTCCAAACCAACTTTTTGGCCAATCCAAAACTACTTTTTCTTTTCTTTTCTTTCTTTGCCTATTGCACAAGCTGTAACAGCCAATAAAAGCATGAAAGAATAACACAAATGACAATTACGGAAAGTCAGAAAGAAAATTACAGAAATCAAGAAAGAGTTACTAAGAAGCATTTCAGAAATCAATATTAAACTAGAAAAAACATAAGCAGAAATTAAAACAACACATAATTTTTGAAAAGGGAGTATATTAAAAGTGAAAAAATATAATACATCTCAGGATTTGAAAGGAAATGGTAAATGTAAAAAGCATGCAAAGAAGATCCAATGTATGTATGACAGGAATTTCAAAAGAAATTTCAAGGACATAAATACTAACAATGATACAAAAAATTGATAAGTCACTAGAATGATCAACATTAAGACTTAGCCTAGCAAAATACAACAATAAAACTTAAAAATACTCTTTGGAAATAAAATAATTACATCCAAATAAATCACTTATTAAAGACCATCATGTCATCGGACCTTTTTAACAGCAACTATTCATGTCAGATGAGATGCTTACTCAAAGAAAGAATGTGAATTGAGTATACTCTATTTTAATAAATTGATTTTCAAAATAAAGCAAAATTAAAATGATCAAAATGCAAAATTCTAGAGAATTTTATTCCCATGAGACTTTTCTAAAAAACCCACTAAAAATTACTTTTAGATTATGGAAATAATTAGAAAGCTATATTTTAAAAACATAAGTATTCAAAAACATTGCATTTGGAACTAAGAATAAACTATGGTTATGTGGGAGAAATTGCATATCATAGGGATTTGCTCTGATTAAACATATTAAATTATTAAAAAATAAGAGGGCAATGGGAAGAGCATGTCAAAATATATAATAAGAGTTACTACTTGGGAGTAAATTATATTACCTCCAGTTCTCTGATACGGGAGAGGCTCGAGTAAGCTGATGGAAGTTGATTAGATATTTTCAATCTTCTTACCAGAGCACCAGTAGAAAATAATTCTTGAGAGGATATCAGAAAAATGATGTTAATATTAAAGTAAACAGGAATAAAAATGTAAAACTCCTTAAAACAAACCATATATTAAAATATGATATGCTATTCTCCATCTAAAGGGAGATATTCCTAAAATGTGATTGAAGGACAAACCAAAAAATAATGAATGAATTAATGAACTTGTAAGAGAGGGAGGGAATAGGGTAGTGAGAACAGGGAGAGAGCTTACACTCCTTTAAATGTACCCTCATTTCATGGACTTGAAACTATGAAAATATTTTATATAAAAATGTATTATTAAATTTTTAAAAAGTTTCTAAAATTTAAAATGATTCATTAAGTGAACAAAACCAAGGCATGTACTTGCAGGCATAGAAAAGGATTAGTGTAAGTCATTTGAAACACATTAATTTGATAGTGCTCATTAATGGATTGTATTGAATTATAGGAAGGACTGCAAAATAAAATTTATACTGTTTTTGGTAATCATATTACCAGTGGTAGTTGTCAGTTTTATAATTTTGATTCACTGTGTGTAGTGTGGGATAAAATTAATGAGCAATTATGTGATATTTTAATTCTCGCATTTCCAGTGTTCTTGACAACTGGAATTTTTCATCACTGAAGGGAGTAGATGAAAATAAAAGATGAAAGAAGTTATATAAAAATCTTGTAAAGTATCCACATGATTTTATTACTTATTTTATCACAGATATAGTTCTTGAACTATCCAATGAAGAAGATAAAAAACAACAAATAACTCAAAAACAGTGAGTATGCTTAATTTCCAAATCATGGCCATGTCACAAGGAACTAGGGCATTTGAAGATGTTACTGATTTCAAATCTGATGCAATAAATGTCTAAGTCTGGATCAACTTAACAAATCTGATAGCAAGGAATGAGCACTAGTTTGGGTCAAAGAATTCAAAATACATATTTAAAGAGGCTTTCGTGGCCAAAACTGAGGCAATTTGTAAGCCAAGAAAAGTCATAACAAGAGATTCAGAGCTTCAAAGTGTATTACATCCATGATTTGACGATCATTCATGAGAGATTCATCACTAGTGATGAACTCATTATTTAACCAACTCATTTTAATTAGTTATAATTAATTAATTAGCTCATTAATTTTAAGACAGTTAAAAAAGGAAAAGAACCATGAATTTATCCTTCCCTTTCAAAATGGACTGTATCATGGGTAAACAAAGAGGTAAATGAGGTAAACAAGGCAAAGAGGTTAAGTGTCTCTTTAAAGAATAATTTCAGCTAATAAATGAAAAAGTAATAACAGAAATATATATTTCAATTCTGCAATGTATATGCCATTGCATATGTATATGCTAATGTATGTATATTTTATATGACTTTTGACAATCTTTAATGACTTAACAGGCTTCCCTTGTAGTTCAGTTGGAATCTGCCTGCAATGCAGAAGAATTGGGTTCAATCCCTGAGTTGGGAAGATCCCCTGGAGAAGGAAGTGGCAACCCCACTCCAGTATTCTTGCCTGGAGAAACCCCTGGACAGAGGAGCCTGACCGGCTATATACAGCCCATGGAGTTGCAAAGTGTCAGACACAACTTAGCGACTAAACCACCACCAATGACTTAACAGATCCATAGATGTTATTATCACAAAATGAGAGGCAACTTGATATTTATGACTTGGATAAAATAACTTAACATTATATCTAAAGTAACAACACCAAAAACCAAACCAAATCCAAAGCGATTTTAAATTAACCTAAAGATTAAATTTGACAGCTAAGATTCTGAATATCTATGGACATTACTTACAGCCTGGTTCAAACAAATAAAATGTAAACATATATAAAAGATCATTGACACTTATGGTACAACTGAAAATGTGAACTGTTGCATATTGGATGATGCTAAGAAACCGCTGTTAAATTTTCAGACGTTATCACGCTAATGTGAGCCTATGTTAATGAAGTCTCATATAATTCTTTTTTGCAAGTGAAACTATATACTATTTGATATTTTATTTTAAAAAAAGAGTGTGGAACGTAGGTGGGAAATAGAATGGAACAGGTTTGGCTTTGCACTGGGCACAGCTGGTTGGTGGTATGGGTTCCTTCTACCGTTCTGTCTAATCTTGCACGTGCTTGATGTGTTCCATAATTAAAAGTCAGAATAACACTAAGCTAACACGCTGCCTTGGGGCACAGCAGAGCACAGAGCTAGCACCCATGGGGCACATCCCATCTCCTCTTCTTCCTGGGCCTGCACTGGGATATTTTTATCTCTTTCTCCAGGAACGTCTTTCCATCATATATGCCATGTTTGCCCAGGACTGCTCAGCCTCTGCTCACGGAGGCGTGAGTCTTCGATCTCATTTATGCCTTGTTATTTTTATCTGTCATTCACAGAGCTTGTCAGCCTTTCATTGTGTTTATTATAATAGAAAAAATTCCTTTCCCTTGGACCATCTGGAGTTCTTCTTCTTAATAACACTGCTTTCAACACCTACCAGCCCTGAAGTGGTTGTAAGCTTGCTCCTAGGCTAAAACAGACATCCATTTCATGGCCAAATTCTGTCAAGTCTGTTTACTTGAGCATTGTGAGATCAATCTGTTATGGGCTTTTGGTTAGATCAGTGTATTTTAATTGGCAAAGATGTGCACTTGTTTTTAAATATACCCTTGTCATCCCTAATTGCAGTGCCTCTTACTGCCCTGTTCTGGTAAACACCTGTTTTTGAAGCAGTCATTCCATCTAAATGTCAGTTACCTGTGCCAGGTGTTTCTGACAGACAACAACCAGTCACTTGGATATAAATGACCTTACAGGCTCCTCTGTGATCATGGTGCCTCCAAGGATTTAAAAGCAAAAGTTGACTTATTTGTCAATAACCTAAAATCATGAAGTTATCTGTTCTGAATATGAGCTCAGTTCTACTAAGCCAAGTAGATCGGTGAACAAGAAAATAATTAGCTTGTAGAAAACAGAGAAAATAGTGCCATAATTTCTAAGTTTTTAAACGAAGCTAGTGGTATGTTTTTGTTAGGTTTCAGAAGCAATTTGATCCTTTAACAGTGAGGATTTTATTCAACTTTGCTGTATTAAAGTATGTTTTTGCCAGGATTACTCAACTTCAAGATCCAAGAGAATTAGAAAATTAAATTTCCAGGTATATTAAGCCATGAACATGGCTAACTTAAGATGCACATATCATTGCAATTGATCCCTTTAATCATTTCAGCACATGTTCCTCCTCTCTGATGACCTCGGCGATTTTGTACATGGCCAAAGTCCTCACAATATTTACATGGAGTTGCTAAGCCCAAGGGGCAACCTCATATGATATTCCCTAGAGCAGGGCCCCCCCAAGCTCTGGAACCTAATGCCTGATGATCTGAGGAGGACTGATGTAATAATAATAGATATAAAGTGCACAACTAATTATTAAAGCTTGAATCTTCCCCAAACCATGCCCTTCACCCTCAGTCCATGGAAAAATTGTCTTCCACAAAACCAGCTCCTGGTGCCAAAGAGGGGGGGACCACCGCCCTAGAGTATGTAGCAAGCAGTGAAAGCAGCGCCCCCTGGACGTGTGCGAGGCGGTGGCACTATTGTTGAGAACGTATAGAAGCAAATAGCTAGAAAATAGCCGCGCTGTGCTAAGTCACTTCAGTCGTGTCCAGTTGTACGCGACCCCGTGGACTGTAGCCCACCAGGCTCCTCTGTCCAAGGGACTCTCCAGGCCAGAAGCCTGCATGGACTGCCATTCCCTTCTTCAGGGGATCTTCCTGACCTGGGGATCGAACTGGCGTCTCTTACACCTAACCTGTGTTGGCAGGCGGGTCCTTTACCACTGATGCCACCCGGGAAGCCCACACAAATAGCAGTAGACATAACCTTTGTCTCCCTCCAGAATCCACACGTTGACGCCTCAGCCCTCAGTGTGATGGTGTTAGGAGGTGGGCCTTTGGGAGCTGATTAGGTCCTGAGGGCAGGGCCCTCATGAACAGAATGAGTGGGCAACAATTTCTCCTGTTCACTGCGTGAGGACCCGTAAGAAGACGGCTTCTATGAACCAGCAGGCAAGCTCTCATCGAAGTCACCAAATCTGCCAGCCCTTGATCCTGGACGCCTGGAGCTGCTTATAAACCATCTAATCTGTGGTTTTTGTGAGAGTAGCACAAATGGGATAAAGCTCCCCATCATGGAACAAGCCATTGTTCCAAGTTCTACAAAATCACTCGGAAACGCTTTAAAATGCACCACCTCCTCCACTGGTGAATTATATTTGAACTTCACAGCACATTTTCTTTTTGATTAGAAACATGGATTTTTTGAAACAAACTTAATTAAAGGTAAAATATTTCTGTAGCCAAGTAAGAGATGTGATATTTGCACTATAAAGATTCCTGTTTAGAAGTAATCGTTGGTTTGTTTTCAAGGCTGTGAGGGGAATAAGGTAGAAATTTAAATAGCAAGCTTGTAGAGGTCAAATGTAGCCACAGGCAAAGGAGATGTGAAGTTTAAAAGCTTCCTTGCTACACTGAGCTCCAAAGCTCTTATTTTTAAGAGGATTCTAAAGTTGGCAATCAAATTTCCCCATCCTTAAATAAAAACCAGTGAATTTAATAATGTTCTTAACAATAAATATACTAGAGCAGATGTTTTGTCTGCTTTAGAGCTGAATAATATGATCACAAGCCCCCAAGAGAAAGAAGGGAAACACGTCTAGGAAGATGTTTTTGAACAAGAGGACTTGGCTCTCCTTAGGCATATTTCCTTTAGCTTCACCAAAAAAGTTACAGCTATTTCAGGTAGTTAAAAATATTCCTTTTGGCCAATAACTTTTCTCATTTCCCGCACATGTTCACAAGCTCATGTATCTTTTGGTTGCATCTCAACTTTGTGGTTTTCTGTAGTTGGGTAAACCTGTCTGATATAGAGTATCTTCAAATGTCCAGCATGATAAAACTGAAGTGTCTGCTGCATGCGCTTCTGAAAAGGGGGAGAAAAGCACATTTC